CGACCAGTGTTTGGTATTGAATTTAATTTCTGTGTGCAGGATCGTGGAGGAGTCCCATACGAGGAGGAGACGACCGTCCAGTGCTCTTGGGTTCTCGATGGTGGCCTAACATTCATCGATTCATGATCTCAATCAAAAACTTAACAATCTCTACAACCCCATACTGAAAAGTTATTTATCAATAAAATGTTGATTAGGTAGATTCCGAACTAAATGCCATAATGGAATCTGAATACAAATATATAAATTCAATGGTAGGTATAATAATTATTATTATCAATATTATCATTACCGAATATATTTATTCGCTTCAAATGTTTTCAAAACAGAAACGCAGTTAAGAAATGTAAAATAATTAAGCTGGAAAAGACACCCGGGCAATGTTAACTTCATGGAGGGCAAAGAGAATCGTCGTAGAAATTCACGATATTGTAATGTTGACATCATAGAATAATGTTTTGGGTCGGTAACGAATTGTTTTTAAGAGTTTATGGTTTCTTAAATTCCAACTATGTGCACACATTAAACTTATATAGTTTTGTAAACAATAAGGAAGTTCCACTCAACGTACAAATAATAATTGGAAAAATATATAAGAAAACAGAATGAACATTCACTATTGGGCCTCGTATAACTATTTAAATATATTTTAAAATCAATCGAGACATTAATTATTATCTGCTTGATTTGCGAAGATACACCTAGACTACTGCATCATTTACTTTTTCCATTTGACACTTCTTTAGGTTACCTATTTTAAACGCTTTCGATTCCTAAAGCTGATTATTATGTCTCTTAGGTACTTACTTACTTACTTTCGCCTGTTACTCCCAATGGAGCATAGGCCGCCGACCAGCTTTCTCCAACCCACTCTGTCCTGGGCCTTCTTTTCTAGTTCTTTCCAGTTCTTGTTCATTCTTCTCATGTCTGTCTCTATTTCTCGGCGTAATGTGTTCTTTGGTCTTCCTCTTCTCCTTCGACCTTCAGGATTCCATGTGAGGGCTTGTCTTGTGACACAATTGGGTGATTTCCTCAAGGTGTGCCCAATCCACTTCCAGCGCTTCTTCCTGATTTCTTCCTCCGCTGGAATCTGGTTTGTTGTCTCCCACAGTAACTTGTTGATGATAGTGTCTGGCCATCGGATCCGAAGTATCTTGCGTAGACAGCTGTTAATAAACACTTGTATCTTCTGGATAATGGCTTTCGTAGTTCTCCACGTCTCTGCTCCATACAGAAGAACTGTCTTGACATTTGTATTGAAAATTCTAACCTTGGTGTTGGTTGACAATTGTTTTGAGCTCCAGATGTTTTTCAGCTGTAGGTATGCTGCTCTTGCTTTGCCGATCCGCGCCCTCACATCTGCATCCGACCCACCGTGTTCATCAATGATGCTGCCCAGATATGTAAAGATTTCCACATCCTCCAAAGCTTCTCCGTCAAGTGTAATTGGATTGGTGCATATTGTATTGTGTCGGAGAGTCTTGCTTTTCCCTTTGTTTATATTGAGACCTACTGCTGCTGAGGCTGCTGCTACACTGGTCGTTTTCTCCTGCATTTGTTGTTGCGTTTGTGATAGAAGAGACAGATCATCCGCGAAGTCTAAATCGTCAAGCTGCATCCTGCCTGTCCACTGTATCCCGTGCATTCCTCCAGATGTTGACGTCTTCATAATCCAGTCGATCACCAGGAGAAAGAGAAAGGGTGAGAGTAGGCAACCTTGTCTAACACCGGACTTTACTTCAAACGAGTCGGTGAGTTGTCCTCTGTGGACGATTTGGAAGTTTAGTCCATCATAGGAGTTCCGTATGATGTTGACTATCTTCTCAGGCACGCCGTAGTGTCGAAGAAGCTTCCATAGTGTCGTCCTGTCCACGCTATCAAATGCCTTCTCGTAGTCGATGAAGTTGATGTACAGTGATGAATTCCATTCGATTGATTGTTCCACAATGATACGTAGAGTTGCGATTTGATCTGTGCACGATCTATCCTTACGAAATCCAGCTTATTGATCTCGAAGTTGAGCGTCCACTGAATCCTTCATCCTGTTTAACAATACTCTGTTGAAGACTTTTCCTGGTATTGAGAGGAGAGTGATGCCCCTGTAGTTGTCGCAGTTGCTCAGATCGCCTTTCTTTGGTATCTTGATGAGAAGTCCTTCTTTCCAGTCTGTTGGTACATGTTCTTCATCCCAAATCTTACCGAAGAGGATGTGGAGTATCTTGGCAGTTGCTGTTACATTTGCTTTCAGTGATGTCTCTTAGGTAATTTGTACTCTAATATTTCACAACTGTTCTTACAAATTTTCTATACCTAGAAAAACAACTCTTAAAAGCACTACTCTCTTTGTAGCTATTTCATGTGTTTATTCAAGCGTGAGATATGTATTCTCGACCTTTTGCTATTTACGAATACTTAGGTGAGCTTTAAATGACGATGACAGCAACCAAGTTGATTGATTGAACCTAGCTTGCATTTAGAATACAACAGTGGTTTTGTAAACATAATGAAATTATTGAAAGGAATGTATTAATAATATGACAGTTGACAACACCATCAGAATGTATAATATGTATATCAAGCCAAAATAATATGAATAAACATCCTAAACGCTGTATATAAACCAAACAAATTGTTTCATTTTGAGTATGATATGTTGCTATGATATTTTAAAAGAAATAATTAGACTAAGCTCACTATAATAAAAAACACCCACGACAATATTACACTAATTAAAGTAGTTACACTTTGCGATAACCATAGAATATAGTTATTTGGAAGATCTCCTCTAGAAAGTTGATGACTCCAAAAATCGCTCAACCTAGGAGTTAATAAAATTATAACACGACTTTACTCAGATTAGCCGTCATCAGCTTCGTTTTACATCATAATATCTAGTTGATGCTGCATATTTTTGTCTTACTTACATTGACATTCACATTGCGCTGAGAGTTAGAGACATATATCAAAAGGATGAATAGCCCTTGAGAAAAGCCGAACAAGAGAACCTGATGAAAAGTTGATTAGAAATCTCAGGTTAGAAGCCAATGCTTCACGAAGAGTATTATGAGTAAGTAATTAATTTATCATGAAAGATAATAACCAGAGAGCTAAATTGCACTTCATGGTTATCAGTGAATCAATATGGAATATCAGCTTATGAAGAGAATGATCGTAACGAAAAATCGAACATCGACGTAGATGACGGCGTTGATAACAATAAAAGTTAAGAAAACCAAATGACTTATTTAAAATTTCTCATTTTAGTGTAATATAGGGTTTTATATGAAATATAACTTACTTTAAGACCTAAATGAGCATAGAATTTCATGATAGGTATATACATTCTATCGGAATAATGATAAACAAAGTAGCCAGTTAAAAGTGCACCACATACAATGCAAATTTCAATGATATTTATCATTTGTGAGTTTGATTTTGTATGATGATTAAATGGCATTTTATCAATATATGATATATATTGTTGTGATAATTTATTATACATTTTATTATTCTTGTTATAATGTAGTGGTTTTATACGATCAGTTGGATTAGAATTTGACAATTTCAAGTTTTTAATCGACTTACGTCTACGTAATCCTTGTTCATTTAATTCTTTCATTCAATACGTAATATAACTAACTCTATAAGAGATGAATAAATATTCAGTGGGTTTGTTTAAGAAGAAAAACGAGTTCCTTTTATACAGTAATTGTTTCTTATTTTTTGACCAATATAACTAACTGTTACTATTAACAACTACCACTCTCATAATCATAACAATAATTATTGTTTCCTAAGGACAAATGTTAACAATAATGGGATTCACTTATCAATAATAATGATAACAATAATACAATTGAACTGTAGAAAGAAATAACAAATACAATGAGTGAAAAGATATTTTTTATTTAATGGAAAATGTTATTTTAATAGTTAAGTATGATTTGCTTGTTTTTGTAAATCTATCAGTCCAAACACATAGAAGTTAGCCAATGACACAAGCACAAAATAGATTCTTTTTAATATAAATAATTAGTGAATGTTATGATTGTCAAGATTTACAATACTACTTTTTGTCCGATGTGCAAGTAGTTAGTAAATGTATCTGTAATAAAACCTACTCTTTAAACTTGTTAGAAATCTAGGATCATTTTGATCACAAATAGTAATTCTTTTTAATCATTAAATCATCGATCCCTATAACAATGTAGAAAAATTTACAGACACCTGAATGTTGGAATGAAGTTGAAACCACTAGTGCTAAATACCATGCATTCATCAACCTCAACTCATGTACTTTTGTTTTGGTGACAACGTTTTACCTCTAACATAAGACGAAAGGCTTAAAGCTGAGCACATGAACTTATACTTAGTTAACCATTCATATAATAAAAACATACCTTTAAATTAAAAGAGCTTTTAACATTTAAGATTTATGGGTTGACCTTAATGTCATTAAAAACTATTACAAAGTCCCTTTTTACCACTTACTTACTGAAGCTTTTTGGTTTAAACCATATTGTCACAAGTATGAGGCGTCCCTCACGAAAATCTATTTCATCAAGTTTATAGTATGTCGAGCGTCAATACCGTACGGGTTCAATTCTATTCTATGAAAGTCCTGTTATTGAAACGCCTTGAAATATTAATGACTACCTAAATAATTGACTGTTTTACTTCAGAACCACTGAATTCTACAGTGATAAATGTTATCAGATGGTGTTATCAAACTTCAAAATTAGTGACTATTGTATTCGAATTCAATGCATAAACATCAACATGTTTTGTGTATAACTTGAAAGATTTTCGTTTGGTTTTATATCTCATCGAGAATAGACATCATTTATTATTCTTAGACAGGGAAGAATTAACTGTTTATTACATTTTTATTATTTTTGGCACGCCTATTAAATACAGATAATGACTATAATTTTGTACAACTTAATTTAATTTGTCTAATCGTAAAAATCAATAATTTGCATTTCACCTATTTCTAATAGATTGGTGAAAGTGGAAAGTCCCCAAAAGAATTAGAAAAAATTATAGTTTGTTTAAAAAAGGTATTACAACGTAGTCAAGCTGAGAATGAACGTTTGAAGTGTGCACCTGGGCCAGTATCACATAATGAATTGAATCAATATAAAACAGAGATAAAACGCTTAAAAATTGAACTTGAAACAGCACAATTAACCGCAGGATCAAAACTATTCAATCGTCGATTAGCGAATGAACAAGGAACAGCGAAATTAATGCATCAATATGACAGTTTAAGAAAGAATTATGAAGAAGTGAGTTTTTTATTGTTGTTGTATTCCGGAAATTAAATTAATGAGCTACATTCACACTTATCGATAATACGAAAACATTTTTGTAAACATTGATAAACAATTTTTCTTGAAAAAATTCAGACAACCATATTCCCCTTCGAAATATATGTAGGTCAACCGAATGATAAAAACACGCAGACTGAAATTATTGAGATAAACAGTTATTTTAAAATAAATTCTGAATTGCTTATTTAAAATCCTTTTCTCGTCTTTACCAAATAAATCAGCCTTAAGATGGTGGTTGGAGATGGTCAACAGGAAACCCTGGACCCGGGTTTCGTGCTACTTGGCACTCGTCAGCAAGATGTACCTGTAATCTTGAAGGAGCTGGTGCTCCCTAACGGATTCGATTCCGTGTCACTCAGCTTCACAGTCAGAGACGTTAACACTGAGCTATTCGGGCCGCGACCAACCTCCTGTAGGACTGAGATGTAATCACAATTGATTTATCACTGGGTGGTGATCAATGTCATGCGTGTCAAGTCCTTCTTAGTGATGATCGAATGCTATCGATCAAGTTGCAATGTGGCCACTAGTCTAGGTGGCTCGACACTGCGTGCACTATATATTGAGATAAGATGGTGGTTGGAGGTGATCAATAGGAAACCCTGGACAGTAATGAGCGATAGACAGTTTGTTTCTTGGTCAATAATACAAAAACTGACACTAAAAAGAGAATAGTATTAAGTTGTTAACTAACATTATATGTATGATTCTACAAAAATTTTTTCATAGTGTAAATTAAGTGGTTTTAATCTAATATGTACCGAGATCCATTTATAATGTCAAAAACTATTCTTATCCATAAAATTCTAAATTGTTGGACTGAAAGCTTTTATAATTTTTATTTATTAAGTCAAAATGTAGATTTCTTATATTATTTCTGTGTTAATAATGTATCTATCAAGTTAACGAAATATGAACACTGTGTGTAAATAAACTAGCACAAAGTGGGAGCGAGTTTCTGAGAAAAATACAGAACAAGGCTACTTACAAAGAGATCATCAGTAGTCAACCAAATATTTCAATATTCAGATTTTTACGACTCAGCACCATCTTTTGTGTATGTACAAATAACTGCAGTTAGCCATTTCTTTAATAAAACGGAATTCTATGACCTGAATATCTATTCAATTTAGAGTATTATTACCACAATAATTAAGGTAGCAAAATCTGTGGCATTTAGGTCACTCACAAAACGCTGTATATCAACTGACTGTTGAGAGAAAACAATCACATTCTTTTTCAAGTATACAAGCAGATCAGTGAATCAGGTATTCCATTTTTAATTGATAGATTTCATATCTGATTTCCTACTCTTGTTCCTTTCAATATCGTAAGTAGTTTCCATCCTTGACCGACACAGTATGATTACACAAACCATTACTTATTTGCTAAAGTGAATTGACATTCATACCATATTTGTATGTTGATGATTATTTGTCTAAAGTTATTCTAGTAACTCCAATAAATCAAAACTCAAACTTGTAGGTCTGACGAACTTACTGTTTGATCGATAGATTAAGAGTAGTTCTACTGAGATATTTATTTAAAACTTACCTAATAAACAGATACTATCTTTAATTACCGCTTCTGTACAGTTTTTTCTGGAATTTTTAAATATGGCATTTGTATATCTTTATGATTCAGACTGTAAAAAGTAACCACTGATAGAAAAACGTTAGGAAGATACTTTTACGCTTAATTATCATTTTATTATTATTGTCCAAACAGGTTATATTGAAAAATCAAGAGATGACAGATCAAGCAGAACGTTTACGTCAAGAATTGGACAAATTAAAGAAATCACCTGAATAATCAGACTACAATAAACAACTCGGTTAAACTAAGTCATGGCAATCACTTGAAGCATCGTAAAGAACTTGAAATGAATCACTGTTGTTTGTGTGCACACGGGCATTATTGTTATGAGCTCTTATGCTAAATAATATAAACTTTTTTGTTCTCGTTAAAGAAATATAAAAAATTAAGTTTCCGAAGTTAATCTAACAGTAACTTAGCAAGTAAATGTATATTCCGTTATCAGTTTTTGAGTCAATTATGATAAACTATAGAAACAACTCGATTGCTGAAACCGAGAGTCGTCATTATGTGGTTAAATATATCATAACCATTTGGAATGATTAACAATCGTTCACAAAGATATATCAAACAACGTAGCATCTAGCATTTGACCTAAGTACAGTATGACTTAACAAAAGTTCTTAAAATAAAATACGTCACGCTGCACGATTCGTTGTTGGATGTTTAATGAAACTATAATTAAGTAAAACTGAGATCCCGTTAGGTAACCTACTCTGCAGAAACCACAAGTTGTCTTGCGCAATAGTGTTCCTCATGTTATATCTTGTGGATTTGTGCTCCTATCAGTATATGACGTAACGATGCCGCCAATTAGAATATAGTGAATTATCGACCGGACTAATAACACATAAAACCCGTACGAGCAGTCTAGAGTACTTATCGGCCCACCTAGCCCCGCTTGTTAAGTCCAGAACACTAATAACAGCCTCTGCGATATGAATCGTATATTTCAGACATACTGGGTTTATATACAAACCAAACAAACCACATCGTACCATAAATAGGAAAACAGCATTTGTACAAGATTTAGCCAAATGTGGCTGTAAGGGAAATAGAAAATGATAAATGGCATAATTGAAGAATGGCAAATCGTATAATAATAGTTCATAGGTCAAAATATAGCTTATGATAAAAGAAACACGAATAGGAATAATTTAGTTATTTAACAATTATACAATAAAATATATGTATAGTACTAGTCCTCAAATATATTACAACAGTTACCATTTATTATTCTCATCCGGCTATAACAGCGCATTTATAAAATCCTGGGATGCCGAAATCAATGGTTCATTGAAATAATGAGATTGTTAATCTTTAGTCAAGAGTGAAGTATCGAGACAGACTTTAAGATCTCTTATAATGACATTGTGAGAAATTTCTTCCGCCCCTATATGACTCACAGCTTCTGTCGACCTCGATCACGTTTGGTTACTGTTCAACCTGTCATTATCTGCCTCTTCATTTTGATTGTATCTCCCTTCGATCTGATTGTTCCTATATTTGTCTATTACTATCATCCTCATTGATAGACTGGATCGATTTCAATATGTTTGTTGATTGCTAGTTGATCTGAGTGTCAAGCTTCTAAAAATCCCCTGGTATGCTTGATATTCCTTTTATCCAACATGCATTGATATAAGCGAAGAAATGTAGTGGCGTCTGACGGCCAATTGATGTTCACGCAGGCAAAGAAGACGTCCATTTTGTCCGATGTGGTGTTTTTCGCAACTGGAACTGTTTACTTTGGAGATGTTTGATTTCTCTTCTTTTGTCATCTCGTCTTTCGGTTTGCACCAGATCGGTGAAGTGATATTGATGCTTTTTGTGCTGCACCTATTCCATTTCACTTTTACGTGGTTTTTCCTGATGCTCAGAATATCAATGAAAGCTTTACGGTCAAAAAGTCCAGCCCACATATCGAAACCCCGGCAAGATAGAATGCAATTGCTGGTGAGGAACTCTAAGGTGCCGGCCCTAGTGACAGTTTCTGGTCCTGTGCTATTCCATCTGAACCACACATACTGTTGCATTAATCGTGGTTGTTCGGCATTCTTATATTACCTGTACCGTAAGCTTCTGTTGGACTTAATAACCGTCTTTATACAACCTGAATTATTCACCTATTGCGTTTAGTGATTGTAATGATTTCAAAGTACACCTGCTCTTGATGCAGGTCGTACGTGATTTAGAGAACAATTGGTGTTTGCGTGATTAAAATATATCCTTTCACTCTAACCATATATCCTAACTCTGGCACTGAATTCGACCTAAATTTAACTCCTGACTCCCAATCCTTATCTTGACCACTCAATTATGTCGAAACTGTTTATCCATCTGTTTTGTAACATTTTATCACAAACTGCTTACTAATTTTTCCTTCTAATTAGCTGATAAGTCTATTAAAGTCGTTGATGTAGTTTAGTCTTACCGATATAACCATAGTCCGAATTCTCATTAAATACGTTATTACTTTATATCCGTAGCCTTGAAACTCTATTCTGAAAACTGATTAATTCGTTACTAAACTGTAGCCTCAACTAATTCACGTTCAGGGAAACTTAGAGGATAATAGGATCATTTATGAATCTACCAGAGAATTTACTAACTTAATGAATCCACCTGTGTGAAAACTTATTTTTGAAAGTATTCAGTGGAGTTTGTGGAATAAAGTCAACATCAATACTGAATCACGATTTCTCATCGTGAATTAAAAGAATACAGCTTCAGTGACAAGTGTATATTTCTACTTCAGGAAGATCTAAAATAACTTCGCAGAACTTCTAATAGTATCCAATCGTTACAAAGCTGTATTTCTATTGATGCAAAATATAATGGTAGGTTGTAAGTAGTTATATTACAGCTTGAAGAACTAACCTGTCACTATGCTAATTTTCATTAAGTTAGAAGTGAACCTACGTATATTAAAAGTTTCTTAAAGGAGCGACAACCAAAATATGTAAACTATAACCAATTATCTTGAATTTAAGAGATTATTCAAGGTTAATGGTTTATGGAATTATAGGGGAATCCCAAGGAAATTGGATCGGACCACCTTATTGATGCAAATTAAAAACAATCTAGATCTTGAAACGAAGTTTTGAACTGTGGGTATAATATATTTCATTGATGTATGTTGAACACACTTAAAAAACTGAAATGATGGAAATATAAATAGCGGTCAGAATTAACGACGTGAATTGATGAAGAGAACATCAAAAAATCAATGCAAATCAACCATATATAGGTGTTTCGATTACTAACACATACCGAAAACAAACTGAGACAGTTAAAGAGGAATAAATGGAGTCTCCAAGCCCTCACACAACTGATTTGGTGAACACAAAGTAAGTACAATGAGACCAAGCACCTCAAATAAAATACAATGAACCAACAGAAGATAATAACTTAGAGTGAAAGGAAGATTTCGAGTGACTGGTGCATTTATGTTAACTATTCACACAAATAATTACGATATCGCCACTAATTTTAAGATTTATTAATTTGATTTCACTAACCTTGACCACGATATCGCCGACTTCAACCCACAAAATCCAGCTTCAGTCCACCATTTTGTGGTGTTAGAAATTAAACCCATATATATATCTTGGTGTTTTCATTTAGGAAAATCGTAGCTAGTTAAACACAAATTCACAGATTAAGATATATGTCACGCCCAGCATTAAAGATACAACTACTTAGTAGATAGAGCGAAAACTCGTATTAGTAACTACATTCTTGAAATACATATAACATATCTGGGATACATCCATACAACTACTAGGTTGAGAATAGGAAGCCCTGGTGAAAACCAACCAAATAAGTCAGCCTGATACAGGTCTGTGTGAATCTGAAGCTTGATCCAGCAACTCCAGTAGATGAACTGAAAGTTTCTGAAACAAAAGCAGAGTAATAGATTTTGACTGTTCTATGACTCATCATCACTTTCTTATTCTAGATAGAATAAGCTGTAATGAAAGAGAACACAGTTCGAAGTAAATAAGACAAGATATTAAATTTTCAGTGTGTACGTGCACATAGACTGGCAATGGTAAGAAAATTCACACTAAGACATATAAAAATATGCCAACAAAATATTCAAGTAAACAAACACTTCAAAATGAATGGATGAATTATCAATGCTACAGTTGTTTATATACCATTAAACAAAATATGAATCAAAACAAAGTGTAGAACGAATCAAACGAGAACGGAAAAAACAATAAAAGCAGTAAGAATAAATACATAAATAAATAAAATAATCCCAAAACTTAAAATTAATAGTAATACATTGTAAGAAAATAAAACTCGAAGTAAAAGTAAGTAACTGGAAATAATAATAATAATTCAACTGCAAACCACTTCCGTATTATATAATTATGCATTCGTACACCGGCACACACGAGCGCGCACATGTACAGCCTACACATAGTGTACATTTAGATAAAACTCCGTTCAATAATGGCCACACCAGCGTAGCTTCGACCAATTGTTAAATGGCTTGGAAGTATTGACCACGTATTTCCAATAGGATCATATTTTTCTATACTGGTCAAATTATTTTCACCATCTTCACCACCGATAATATAAAGAAAACCATCGTGTGCTACTAGACCTGGGAAGGAAAAAAATATTTTGTGAATGTTTTAAGGATTACAGAATATCATATTACTAGCTGATAAATTTACACACTAATTGACTTATATTTTAGTCGAATTAATTTCGAAACAAGAAAACTGGACTAGTGACTTGGCTAGAATGATGACCTGTGAGCATGTTATCCACCCGTGGAGAAGTTATACATGATTATCGTTAAAATTTAACCTTCACAGTATATCGTGGTTACTCAGATGGTCCGAGCTTAAGAATAGACAAAAGCTCGGTAACTAAGGTACGATTGTTTGAGAGCTAATGATAATGTTCAGTTGTCGAAACACAAAAATTAGGGACCGAGTTCGAATAAGCACCTCAAGTCAGGCACCATAAACTCTTCGAATTGTTAACAATCCAGATGAAACTTCTATAATTCAATACATTGATACAAAACCGGATGAAGCTTTAAAAAGAACATATGTTACATTTACAAATATGGTTAACAATTTATTGGAAAACTAATGAATAATATATACAGATAGAATTTGGTATTAAGATTAAAATCATTATTGAACAATTAATACATGTTCATGAAACACAAGTAACGATGAAATATCCCATCCTATTGATAATAGTTTTAAATTTTAACATCTCATTGAAAACACAGCCAACAAATAAAATTATGCATATTACGACTAACATATCATTCTTAACCTTCTAAATGGAGTGGGGAATATCATGAAACAGATATTTCAAATAGTCGCTGGAATTGTCGGACATCTAAACAAACAAATTCGATCAGTTAGAAAGCGTGTAGACTTACGGATAATTGATAATTTCTACGACCG